GGTTCAAAGATCTGCAAAATTTAAAGTTCAGTTCAGGTTCAATTGAACTTGAACCTGAACCTAAATTGAACTGAACTAAATTTTGGAATACTAGCATTAAGTGCTAATCATAATCACTAAGCGTAATTGCTAATCATTAATCGCTAAACATAATTATTAATGATTAATTGCTAAGTGTAATCGCTAATCATTTATCACTAAACGTAATTGCTAATCACTAATTGTTAATCATTAAGTGTCAAGTGTAATACATATCTGTTAAATTCTACTCTAATAATAATAACCAATAATAAGATAATAAAATAATAAAGTAATAAATAATAACTAATAATTATATAATATTAAAATAATAAACTAATAAAATAATAAATTGTTCTATAATATTTCTATCTCTTTATAAAAATTTGCTCTGCAAATTCTTGATTAATAACTGATACTCTTTATCAGTAAACTTGACAATATGAGTTATAGTAAAGTATCAGGTCTGATATAGCAATTCTCATCACCAAAATTTACAAGAGGATTAGTATTAATTTTAAATGGTTATTTAATATGTATCGATTAAAATTTTTCTCACCAATTTCTATTGATTTAGATAAAAATCGATAGTAATCTTGTTGATTTCTATCGAGTTAGATAGAAATCGATAGTAATCTCACCTATTCTATCGAGTTAGCTAAATCTCAATTCGTATCAATTAATGTATAATGATTTTAATCAAATTTTTCTAATTGTACCAATATCGATATTATTATACTGTATACTTATTATTTATATTTAGTAAATCAATACTAATAAATCAAATATTTACTTTTTACTATGCAAAAAAAATATTTATTGCAATAGAATTTATTAATTAAAAAATAAAAAATACAAATCACTGAATTATATGCAATGAACATAACCAATTAAAACTAAATTAATCAGCATAATAGTTAAAACCAAACAATTCATCCATATCTTCTTGTGAAAGAAAAGCTCTAGAACTACTATCTTGAGATAGAGTATTAGATTCTAATTTAAGAGTATTCGGCCATGATTCAGAGCAGTGCTGAATCTCTGCTTCATCCATAATCTTTTCTAATGAATTATAAGAAAGACTATCATTATTAAAATCATTCTATATTTATTAAAATATTAGTATTGTACAATAATCTTATAATAAAGAAAAACATTAAATACATACAAGATAGTTTTCAATATAACATTTTATATTTTTCTCGTCGTATATAACACTTTTAGATTTTGGATACAAGAATACATCACACACCACAAGTGCAAAGGTGCAATATTCATTTATTAGATTAGAAACTGTAATCTCTGAAAATACAGACCTTGCTATTACAGAGATCCAGAATACACCCTTATCATTTTGTTCAAATAATAAACAATGATATTTGCTTATTTTTAGATTTTTCTTCTACTTTACAATTACCAGGGCCTTGGCGTTATTTTTCAAGAGA